CCAAGTTTGAAATTATTGCCAAGTTAGATTTTGTGCAGTCATCATTCTTCATTCATTAGCGATGATGCGAGCTTAAAAAATCGTTCGACTCGTTCAATTCATATCAGTATATTATTCAGCTCAGTGTTTCATCGGAATCGAGCGATTCGCTAAAAATATGAGATATGAGATTTATGACGACCTCCGTGGCCGAGTGGTTTGTGCGCCAGGTTTCATGGTGTCGCCGCGCCGACTCGAGAGGTCCCTCCCGGGCTCGAATCCTGGTGGGGGCAGATGTTTGTGTGATGTATACGAGCATTTGTACTCCAGTCATGGATGTTTAATATGTATTTCTAGATAAATATACTTATATATGTACTGTATATGTATTCTATCCGTTACCCTAGCATCCCATAACATAAGCCTTACAGTGCTTACTTTGGGGCTAGGCTAATTAATGTGTGTTGGAAATATTTGTTATTTATTTATTTATATTATAGGAATAGATCCACATATACATACAATCACTGTCTATCGGAGACGCTAGCTCAACATACGTATGCAGTCAAATTTTATATATTTTGCTATCGTAATAAGGTTAAAAAACAGTGAGAGTTCATTAAGTATTTTCAACACCAAAAATAAACAACAAATAGCGAATTGCTGTGATTGCTATATTTTTAAAATGATGTACACATTTAAAACGACTCAAGAGCCTTCTGTCTGCATGAACTGCACTGAGCTAAAAGAGCCACTGAGCTAGAAGAGCTATACAGCTCTTATATCTTCAAATAGCTATATTTCCCATGGCTAATCAAAATAGATTAGCATGAATTGTAAGTAGGTACTTAATGTAAATACCTATACATATATAATGTAATCCTATTCCTATCGTATGTTCCTCGCATGTAAGCTATGTCATCTATACCTACATATAATAAAATGGTAGGAAAGTCAAAACTGTACATTGATTATTTTTTTAAAAGAATACTTGGGGTGTGATTTACAATCGATACCGAAGCTAAAAATATAGTTTTTAGGATTTTAGTCTATTTTTATGTATGTCCGGGATAAACTCAAAAAGTACTGCATGGAATTACTTCAAATTTGGCACGAATATTATTAGGAAGTCGCGTTAACATATTATCACGCTATAACCTACGGGGAACGAGCAGTGAACCTTTATTTCTAACTAACTCCACGCGAACGAAGTCGCGGGCGCCCGCTAGTATAGTTATAACACGCAACCCTAACATCGCAATGTTTTAGCATCTATGAACTTTTTTATTGCTGGGCGAAAAATATGGAATGTTGAAGTGATTGCTTTAATTTATTATTGTTTTATGGTTCTACTGTACAGACTTGTACTGACATACCTTGCAATACAAACCTTCATTCATGGACGAAGATAAAAATGGTTTAGGATTATTTTATGTGCAAGTGTTTTGGTTTTGTCATCTGTTTTCAGCACTGTATTGTCTATTTGCAGTGAGAGCGTTCAGATTTCACGGGTATCGGTTACGGCAGCGTTTTATTTCATCATCGGTGTTCTTGTCACCTGGTGTAAAAATACTTTGCGTTCCAAAGCAGCATTTTCTTGGCCAAAATTCTTGCATCTCACTAGCCTTTTGTGTTTGACCAAAGGCTATGTTACGTCACCGACACGCTTTCCGTTATCACATTACATTGCTTACATAATAATGATTTTCAACTTTTTGGATGAGTAGACAATTAGAATACAACTAAGAGCATTCGCATATTTAATACGATATTTTTTCATATATTTTTTTTGTACAACCAAGACTATCAGAGTGAGTAGATATGTAGTCAATACATTTGCACTCTGAATTTTGCTATTATTGCTATAAATATGAACCTACTGTACAGCTTTAACAAGGTTACTATACTTGTTACACACTTGTATGATATAACAACATTTTATTCAGGAATCCGTCCTCTATTAGTATGTATTATGCACATTTATAGTGTAGCATCTTGTATTCAGTACTACTTACTTATCAAAAGATTATATATATAGATTAGGTTATTTAAGAATCAGTCATATATTTAATTGTAATAGACATGTACACATTGCTTCAATCATACACATCTTGTTGCTAAGTGCATATGACTGATTTGTTTACGACTTTACAAATTTTATTATCACTATTAAAGTAGCGGGTTCGCTACTTTAATAGCGGACCAGGGGCCCAATTCTCGCGGCGTAGATATTATATCGGCTTCGAGATAATATCGAAAGGAGGGATATCTATTGAAAATATCTACTGATGGTAAAAAATGCTATTCTCGTGGATTTTCGATATTCCAATGATATTATATCTATCGTAGATATTCTGTCACTGCCGAATGCGTTCCGTTTTTCTCGATTAAGTTAACATCATAGTCTATATAAAATAATAATAAATTAGAGCAGAATTTTACAAGCAACAAAATGATATTTTATGAATTCCATTCATATTAAATATGAGTATACATTTTTTGAGTATAAGAAATCTCAACTTTACCTAAATTGTATGCGTGTATAATTTCAACGTTATGTATAATGAAACGTCAATATTATTTAAGATTCTCCCTTTTTAGGGAAGGCAAAGGGAACAATGCCCATACAGCCTAGTCTTTAGTTATATTAATCTTCTTTTTTTACATTAGAATGTCGGTGTGACGCATTCTAATGTTTCTTGGAGTGTTTGGCACGAAATTTATGGAGTTGGCTTTTTCTCTAAGCTTCTGTGAGGTATTCAACACTACAATAAAATTCTCGCGTCCACTTGACCGGAATAGCGTATATATTAAAGATTCCACTAATTCTTCAGTTGCGCAGACGGTTGTAACACCAAATCACACCAATTTTATTTCACAATAGCCACTATGAACGAATTTTAGAATAATTAAAATAAGACGCCAACCGCACTCGCAGAAATCCCGCCAAAAACTCCGTATCGTCAATAAGAAAATGGTGTCGATTCTGGCATGATTCTCTAAACCTAAACGTAAATTTGACAACAGTGTATCCTTGTCATTCTCCATACAGAATGAAAAGGAGAGACTGATGTTAAATTTAGTTTTAAGTTTAGAGAATCATGTCAGAATCGATACCAATGTCATTCATAACTTTATAGATTTATAACCAAATTTTTGTTTAAACGTAATTTTTTTATGAAGTCGGCGCCCCTCATTTCAAATGGGCCCTCTTGCTCTCACAACGGCGGCGCCTTAGCACAGCAGCAGCAATCACTAAATCATTGATGAAAACATGAATCAACTCATCCATCGTTAATATAAACTGGTGTCGATTCTGGCACGATTCTCTAAATCTAAACTTAAACTTGAAAACAGTGTTTCCTTGTCATTCTCTATACAGAATGAAAAAGAGAGACTGATGTTAAATTTAGGATTAAGTTTAGAGAAGCTGAACGCACAAACTGTGCATGCCATAAAAAAAAGAAAAAGAAGAAGTTTAGAGAATCACGCCAGAATCGACACCATTGTTTACCTACTTCTTTATTTCCTAATTATTTATGAAGGCAGTTAACAACATCTGGAGGTAACAATAATTGGCAATGACACACGACAACACAACAAATAATAGGTAAAAAAAGTGGAAATAACAAGATTGACATGCCAAGATCCATAGATATTTATATATCGAAGGCTCTTTACCAGTCGATGTATGTCTACTGATCATCCGTAGATAAATATCTATTGCGACATGGTGGGAATAGGGCAAAAAGGTTTTCCTTCGATAAAAGGCAGATCATTCGATATATATCGAAGGTGATATAATATCTATGCCGCGAGAATTGGGCCCCAGACCGCAACAAAGGTTTCGTTGTTATGATGGACCCAATACCGACACACTTATCTTAAACTCGGTAATTGTTTAGGTAAATGCAGTTATCAGAATTACTTTCGTTTCGTGATTGTGGTGACGAGCGACGTGACCTGTTGCTGTTGGCTGCTGCCGCCAACTCATTTACGTTATCAAACGAGTCAGCCGCCGCGTGGCCGCTCGACGCGACGGCTCGATGCTCGATAACATCTCAAGCTGTTATTCTTGAAGAAACGATTAACCTCCTCGTTAAACCTGCAACCTGAAATAAAAATAATCGTTTGTTCTACAAAAAACATAGCAATATATTTACTTTTCATAAACGTTGATGCTTATCATTCTAGCTCATTGTGTTTTGAAAACTTTCAAACAAACAAACACTGGTGACAATAATATTATAAGAGTCGTTGTAAATAATTGGATACAGCCCTATCCATATATTTATATACAGTGGCTTCATTTAAGTTTTTGGAGAGTCAAAAATTAAATATTCTTTTCTCAACCAAGGTAATAAACTATATGTGTGCCAAATATTAACTTCGTTCAGGCGTTTTCTGATTTAATCAAGCCCCGCAGTAAAATACTCTCCAGTAAAATTTACTACCCCTTTTCAACCCGTTAAGGGTAGAGGTTTAAAGAACCCTGATGCATGCTATTCTTTATTTCAGGTCTGAAGTATAAATACTGAGTTTAGAGTTTATCGAAATGCGCGTTAAAATTCATAGTATTCATACCAAGTTTTTAGTCTATTTACTCAAAAAATAAGAACTTTTATACGAACTTCATCTTTTATTTTGAAATCCTTTTTTAGTGCACCCCTAAGGAACCTATGTGCCAAATTTTGAATCTTCGTCGTGGCTGTGCGTTGATTTTTAGCCAGTCACTCAGTTTCTTCTTTTATAAATTTAGATTTACTCAAACATATAAAAATAATCTGGTTTACATCTCAAAAGTTCTAAAGTAAATATAAATAAATATCCTAGAGCTAGATGTTTAGCATTTGGCTAAAACGTCAGTCTTTATAAAAAAAAACGGCTCTTTGGCTTGGACTTCTAAACGCCCTCTCCGTATATTAAACATGACAGAAGATATAATATGTGTCTATCAATCTATTTAGTATCGACGTTGTATCGATTGAATATTAATTAATCATACATTATATTGTCTACAGATCAGTGGAACGATACGTGAGGGTGAAATGGCGAGACGTCAAAGTGGGAGACCTAGTGCATCTATCGAACAACGAAGCAGTGCCCGCGGATATGGTCCTTCTGCACTCCTCAAACCCGCTAGGCATCTGCTACCTCGACACGTGCAATCTCGACGGAGAGACCAATCTTAAACAGAGGATCGTTGTGACCGGGTTCAGGGACAAGGTAATTGTCATCATCATTATCAGTTTTATGAGTCTGCACTCCTTTATTCCGCTGGGTATCTGCTACCTCGACACGTGCAACCTCGAATTAGAGACCAATCTTAAACAGAGAATGGTTGTGAGCGGGTTCAGGGACAAGGTAATTATCATCATCATTATCAGTTTTATAAGTCTGCACGCCTTTATTCCGCTGGGTATCTGCTACCTCGACACGTGCAACCTCGACGGAGAGACCAATCTCAAACAGAGGATCGTTGTGACCGGGTTCAGGGACAAGGTAATTATCATCATCATTATCAGTTTTCTAAGTCTGCACTTCTTTATTCCTCTGGGTATCTGCTACCTCAACGGAGAGGACAATTTTTAACAGAGGATCGTAGTGACCGGGTCATCGTCGGGACTTGTATTGTAGATAGCATGGTAAAAAATTAATGGAATCTAATCTAAGCAATTCGTCAAGGTTTTGTATAATAAAATAATAGTAAGATAAAACCATTCGTCCTACAATAAAGTACAATTTTACCGAATTTGACTACATTCTAACCATTAAATTAAAGTAGTTTTGTTTAAAATAATCTAAGATTTAAATTGCAGTATACAGTCCATTACAAAATAAAACTCCTAGTACTCATAATTATGTGCTAAGAATACTCAGATTCAATGTTTGATGGTATGACGCATTTGAAATATTGACGGTCTTTGTTAGAAACCACGTGTCATACTTATTAATCATACCAATCATTAGCCTGGTTCCCGGATATTCCCGGGTGAAAATGGTTTTTAATGTTACTTTTATCATTTGAATGGACACACAGCAAATCTCAAATTGTGCCAACTATTAAAGGTACTGTTATGAATGAGAAACGGAGCGTGGGAATAACTTTCTCTAATATTTCAAATATAAAACGATTAGGTACGAGTAGATACGATTTAACCAAAGTAAAACTTCTTATTAACATTTAACGTCACAACAACTTTTTTACTTTCAGCTAACAGAGTTCAATCCGCTTAAATTCAGAAGTTCTGTTGAAGTGGAACGACCTTCAACGAAAATATATCGATTTACTGGCACAATATCTCATCCAGACGGAACACGCGTGCCAATCACATCAGAGAACCTTCTTTTGAGGGACTGCACGATCAAAAACACCGACTTCGTGGAAGGTATAGTCGTCTACGCCGGCCATGAAACGAAAGCTATGCTCAACAACGGGGGACCAAGGTACAAATGTTCCGGTTTGGAAAGAAAAATGAACACTGACGTGATATGGTGTGTTCTTGTGTTGCTCTTTCTATGCTGCGCCGGCGCAGTCGGTTGCAAAGTGTGGTTAGACCAATACAGTCCCCACATAGCGAAGTTCACACCGTTCATTCCTAACTCTGGCAAGCCGGCATACGAAGGCCTGCTTATATTCTGGACGTACATAATAGTGCTGCAGGTGATGATCCCAGTATCGTTGTACGTCACGATAGAGATGACGAAACTACTGCAGGTGTATCACGTACATCAGGATGTTGAGATGTTCGATCCGCAGACGAATACAAGGGTGGAATGTCGGGCGTTGAACATAACGGAGGAGCTGGGACAGATCAACTACTTGTTTAGTGACAAGACGGGCACGCTGACTGAAAATAAGATGGTGTTCAGGAGATGTACGGTGAACGGTATGGACTATGACCACCCGCCTGGCCCGCCAGCCGAGCCTTCGCCTGAACTCCCGCCTATCGTGACACCTCTAACCAACGTATCACCCAACAGAAGAATGTTGCAACATTTGCTCGACAACAACGACGCACAACACACACAAAAGGTAAATATCCCACGATGTTGTGAACATTACATTACCTAATATGTAGTTTATATGTCAAGGACAACTCGGACATAGACATTAAATAAACATGGTTGACATCATGATTTTAAACACATGGCTAAACGCAATTGTTTGAATGACTTATTATGCCGGTGTACATTTTTAATAAATGTATTCACGCCAGACTTCTCAATCATATTTAGCAACAATTTGAAACAAACGTTCAACCACTTAAATTGATTTTCCGTAACGTAATTGATTTGTCAATTAAAGTAGAATTTGTATAAAACTTAGACACATCGGTCTCGTGTTTTTCACTTACGTTGGGATTTTTCAGTTCAATTCTTTGCGCAAGTCAATAAAGATCCTTTTTTTTATTTGACTCACTAAACTGGTTACTAAGAATATCCATGTAACTATATGCATATAAAGAAAACATCAACTACTTTGCAACCTACTAGACTAGGTAGTATTAGAAATGCATGTTGTGCTTGTATCTAAAGCACAACATGCATTTCTAATACTACCTAACTTGTAAGCAAGTATTAATTAATTAAACAAATTTTATAAAGCTGAAGTGTTTGTTTGGTTGGTTGAACGCGCTTATCTCAGAAACTACTGGTCCGATTCGAAAAAATATTTTTCTGTTGGATAGTGCATTTATCGAGGAAGGCAGGCTATATAACATCACGCTACGACCAGTACGAGCGGAGCATCGATGAAAAATGTTGCAAAAACGGCAAAAAAATATTCCATTTGTGAGCTTCCGTTGCGTGCGCTACGTAAACGGTTAAAGTTACCCAAAAATCATGTATGACGAAATTGATCCTCCTTAAAAGTGATTTAGAAAAGTGCGCGACAGCACATGACCATCTTTTAAGTTTGACTCACTGTTATCATTTTCCTCAAATGTATCACATCCATCGACTGTTTTCGGCGACACGAAGTTTGCCGGGTCAATTAGTTTTAGGATATAGTTTTAACTCAGTACATATAATACAGCTCAATCATAGAATATTGATCATGTCAGAGATTGTGTAGCACAAAACATAGGTAGGTAAGTATTTGGTTAAAGTAATAAATCATAATGCGAAGTTATTGAAACTTTACAGTGTTAAATAAATATCTATCTTAAGTTAGATACATTTTTCGTCCGCGATAGGTCCGCGAGTTTCTGCTGATACTGGCTGTATGCAATACGGTGGTGGTCAGCCAGCCCCACGTGGACAATATGCAGCTAAGCGGCTCCAACTCCGAACACATACAGAAACCATTGCGCGCCAACGGCACTCTGCGATCTAACGATAAGTAAGTGTTACACTACAACTACGAACGGAAATTCTATTACGCCGAGTGATGATAACAGTTCTATTGATTAGAGCATGCCACTAAGGCGAGTACACAAAAGACTATTTATACTGAGCAATGCTAAAGTAATGCAGTTAACTTTAGGCATTTAGTAACGGTTTGCTTGCAAAAAAATATTTTTAAAAGTTACTTATGAATGGAAAGACATGTTTTAAAGTATTTATATTATGAATGAAGTATTACATGTTTAAGTATAAGAACCAATGTCGCTTCTGTACCTACTTCAACTTTCACGCCTACTCAGTATAAAAACAAGGAAATATTTGTCATTTTGCCTATATCGCTCTGATGTGTTTGTAGCGAAATTTTTGTGCGTTCCACGTGCAGAAGGTCCTTTAAACTTTTTGTCTATAATGACACAGATACGCTCGACTCACCGAATCCCGTTCCACCACACCATCACCTCCGCCGTCGACGATGTCTCCGCTGCGTATACGACTGCCCAAACTGCCTTTCGGTAGTCGAGAAGAGACCAGCAGTGAGCCGAGCACCTCTGCTGAAAACGCGGTAAGCAAAATACAGTACAATACGCTTAATATGATTTCCCCCATAATACACCATTTTACTTGAGTGTCCGCTAGATAGGATTTTAAAATCTCGCCCCTCGGGCCCTTTTAGAGTGGCTTGTGTAGGTAGTTTTTGTTTTTGGTGGTGATTATGATTCTAGGACTCCACAGGGTACCACATTATTTGAACCCTTAATAGGTTTTTAGCCATCACAAGCACGAATATGTAATGCATTGTTGGTTCCAGATAGACGTTTATGAGATATAAAACGACATATTTTAATGGTAATGGATGGTAGGCACGCCAAGCTACATATACCTACCTATTTTGCTGCAACATAACACTGTGTCATTCTACTTCCCACACAAATTCTACAATCAATACATAGCTATAGGTAAGGCACCAAAACTTTCCTAAAACTATCTGGTGTTCAAAAGAGCGAACAGCGAACAGTAGGTTTTTTGCGTAGGTACTTTTGAATTTCAGAATCAGGGTTGCTCAATAAAAGTTTTTTGGTATTCTTGAATTTATTATTTTCAATGCATTTTCGACTAAGGTTCGTTCCACAGAAATACAAATTTATATTTACTCAAACTCCATAAAGTAAAGGCACTGTATAAGCATACTACAGCTTTTTGATGAGTTTTTAAGTTGTCATCATAGAATCTCTGGGGAAAATGTTTCATTCATTACACCAATTAATAATCTCCGAATCTTACGTTATTGTGTCTTAGAAGAAGTTTAACATCTCGAATGAAAGTAAATCAACTAGTGTTCTTTATGTCATCGCATAGAAAGATCTAACAACTGACAGTAGATCTATAGGTACTGTACTGTATTTAACTAATATACCGATCTTAAAGGCAGTTGCAATGACTCAAGGGATAAAGTGTAAATTATGTAGTCCATTGTCTATACACAAGATAAAAGCCGTCGTTAAACTGTTTTAGTAAACATTATTTTTTCTGTAGCCAGAGAACTAAAGCGTCACGCTCTAGGTACACAAGTGTCCTTGAGTAGACTACTAACTTTCAACTTCGTGGGTACTTTAATGAGAAAAAACCTACTTAACCAGTGTGATTTTGTAATTTTCTGGTTCCATATGAAATAATTTGCAGTATGATGTACTCATTTACTACCAATACCAACCCTAATTCCTTTAAAATAAGAACAACGAAATTACACAATGTCTGCCAAGAATAGTAGTACTACCTTATTATAGAAAATGATTCATCGAAATGTTGTACACTTTAAAGAATCTATATAGGTATCGACTTATTTATTTGGTTGCCCGATTGACTGTCCACCTAAATAGCCGAAGTTATATTAAGAGAGATAGGGCATAGCGGACTTGCCGCTCAAATTGCGCATCTGGGAAAGTAACCTCCAAGGTGAAATCACATCACCTTTTTGGTAGAGTTACTTTTTAACTGCTGTACCAGCTATCTTCGCGTCTGTGACGTGTGACGGTGTCCAGACTCCACCGTCACTTAACATCAGGAGGGGTGAAGTCATCTGTCGGACCTAATAAAAAAAAACTATTCCGAAACTATTGATCAGTGCCGCAATGTCCTTTTAAGTTGTTCCTCGATAAATATGCATAAAGTGGCTTTTTTACATATAGGTACATCGAGTATTGATTGTTGTGAAACCATCGTTGTTTCTTGTTTTTTTTTTAATTTCTGTCCATTAACACAAGTGCTTTCTAAACGCTTACTTCAGACTCGGAACTAATTATGGGCCTACTAAAAGTACCTACCAAATTTACATCATTTTAGACCTATGTTCGACTGATGTTGAATAATCCCATAAACAGTGTCGAAAAATCGATGTCTTAACACAGCGACCACGACTGTGACGAACATTTTGTCTCTGATAATCCGGAACTAATGTTCCCACTAAAAAAAGTTTAATTGGCAATACGAAAGTTTTTTTTGTTTCTCTGTTCCGAAATTATAGGCTTGAAGGTGGTAACTGGTTACTACTGCATGCGATTTAAATCCCATATATGCCCTTCATTGTTGTGTAGCTACCATATATCACTTTAATAATTAATTAATACGCCTTCCACAAATGGAATGGTTTAGTTTTTTTCCACTGCGGTGCTTGTAGTCAACAAAACAAACCTAACCTAACCAAATATCACAAATTTACCAATTTCTAATCTAATCAAATGACTTCACAACGTTTATCCATCTGGTTAGAATTTGGACGATGTTGCGACCAATGACCGGAGTGTACCAGTTGTCTTAGGTATTTCATAGGAAGTCCTAGGCGTACAGTTGGCTGACTAATTGAACCAAATGGCTGCAACCTAATAATAAATACCTATTGTTTTAAAACCACTATACTAACATTATAGGAATTTATGTAATAAGCGTAAGTAACTACCTTGTTTTTTGCGAGTCCCTGTTATTTTGGTAATTCCATGATCATGCATCCGGCGTGCAATAAATTAGTACCAATGGAAAAGTATACGCAAAGCTCGACATAGGTGGCGCTGCAAACGCTTGATCCAAACCACAGCCGAATATTGCAGCTGTCAAATTTTAAACGTGTTTCTTCGTCGTTAAAAATATTAATTAAGTGGTTTTTACCACTTAATTAATACACTTTTGTGTATTCAACATGGTCTGTAATACAGCTGAAAACATAGTTGAAAAGGAGAGGAGAATCTGTGCTAGGCAGAAAAGCTGATCTAGTAGAAAGGCACTCTTTCTATTATTATGCTACAATACTCATTCTCGGTACATAGATGTTCATGATTATTTTAATAGTTCATGGATTGCAGTAACTTTTTTAAAATGGGAAGTATAACATTGGGTTTTCTTACAGAATTGAGGCATATGACCGCAATTTTTGTTGCATTTTTTTCTGATCAAAATGAAGACATCGAGATGCAATTACCAGTTCCAGATACATACCATGGTGTAAACAGCAGCTCAGTTTTACCCCCTCCCCCCCCCCCTCAAAGCAACATATAAAAATATATTTTAGTCGGGAAGCATGCAGTTTTCTCACAACAACCAGGAATTGCACTACGCGGCATTTGTAATTTTAATTATAAAAAGCTTTAAAATTAAAAGATAATAGGTATGTATTTGATAGAAGTTTTGGGTCAAGCGATTACAGCGCCCCTAGTGGGAAAATTTTGCAGATTTCTTGTCCATTGCAACCGTTTAAAGTTGATTTTCTTTTGCGGCAGGTCGCCAGGTTCGAAGCGGAGAGTCCCGACGAGCTGGCGCTAGCGGAAGCAGCGTTGGCTTACGGGTACGAGCTGCGAGGGCGCTCGCCCGATGAGTGCGAGGTCGGCATCCGCGGCGAACTGTCCAGGCTCAAGGTGCTGCGCGTGCAGCAGTTCGACTCCAACAGAAAGTGCATGTCCGTCGCGCTACGAACACCTAACGGGCAGGTAATGAGTCTACATCATAGGTACTTTATGGTGGTTGTGAAATTAGCAGCGAGCGCAACTACGCGCAGGTTTCAGATCAGCCACAACATTAAACATTATCTGACAACAAACATTTTATTAAATATTTATTACGTTCACTACGACCTTTTTTTCAAATAAATTGTCTTCGCTTACTTTGACTGACAAAGAAATTTATTAACGCAGACAATATATTTTTTCGTAATATCTATTTGAGACATTAAGAATATTTTATCCCTACTATGACACGAGCCTCATAAAACAGGCGCAGTTATTTCGACTCTTATAAGTTTAATAAATCTACGTCAGAAGTTCAATGGCCCATATTTCATTATACTAATAAAGTTGTCTCATACACATAAATAAAATAGATATACAGCACCTAATAATGCTTTGATGCTCAATATGATTTGACTTAAAATGACCCTGTAAAGTGAGTAGCTATAATATTATCTGCAACCTATGCTGTCCCTTAATAGTCCAGGCAACGAAAAGGTATAGAGGGAAATGCTTAGAACACAATTTTTGACTTCGTGACTTTGTTAGGACTAGTTAGGAGGGGGGGGGGGGGGGGCTTGAAGGTCCCATTTTTAGGTTTTTCGCATATATCTCGAAAACTATGCATCCTAGCGACATGAGACTTTCACAAAAGTGAAAGCTGATTAAATTTGCTACAAGTCTTATTCAGTCAAATTTTTTGATATCTTGTATAGTTTTCGAGATAACCGCTCTTGAAAGTCTGTAATTATGGAAAAAAAATTTGTTCCCATTTTTGCTCTATTTGACCGGATAACTCTTCAGCAATGCACCCAAAAAATAAATGCCGGCCGTAGGGTTGTAGAGCATTAAATTATCTTCAATAATAGAAACAATTGCCCTTTTTTTTTATTTAAGGACAAAATTGTTAGGGTTGTAGACGTATGGGGGCGGTACGGTGGGCACTAGGCCGCGTACTCAGCCCCCACGCACGTCTGTGGGGTCCTCGCAAGGACTCGGGGAACCTCGGCAAGGCCGGGAGGATGCTAGGTGCGGAGACGCGGAAGAATCCCTAAACGGGGATTCTGCGGCTTCGCACTAAGCAGCTTAGAGGGTGTTCGCAGGGTATTTTAGCGGATATTATGCCGTAAAGCACCCGTAAGGGTTACGGGGTCCTCAGTGGGCAGCCACTGCTGGGGCTCGTGAGGCTTGCGGGAGCCAGGTGTGAGGTCCATAAGTAAAAAAGAAAGTAAATTAGTGTCATTGAGAAACTGTAATTATCTAATAATAATATCTGTAATAATGATATCCGCTCTTGAAAATCTGTAATTATGGAAAAAAAAATTGCTTTACATTTATGCTCTATTTGACCGGATAACTCTCGAACCCTTCAACGATGCACCGATGTCTAAATAGCACACATGCTCATTTTAGAATATGTACTTGTTGGCCCACTGACCAGGTTCTTCACACTTAATCCAGAAAATAAGTTTAAAAAAACTGTAAGAGTTAACTACTTTATGCAAAAAAGGTTATTATAAATTAGATGATTATTTAAATGATAAGATTGTCTGGTGTTGTATTGGTCCAGCTCAACACAAAAAGTAGTATTAAGAATAATTAAAATTATAAAACAGGACATTAAAAAAAATTGAGACGGTAGGGCCCTGTGCCTCTGGTTTTTTTCCGGTTCTCATTGGCTATACAGGTACGAATACGGCAGCAGTTTTAGATACAATTCACTATGACGTGCAAAAAGAGATTTGTAAAAAAATTCAATATAGTCAATTTCTTGCTCTTTTGGGGTGGGAAGGAACTTGATCCTCGTCTTCGTTTACATTTTCTTTTTCTGTGTCATCTTCTCCATCGGAACCCTGTAGGGAAACGGTCAGAGGATCCTCCTGTTCTTCTTCACCTTCGGAGTCAACTTGAGGGACCCCATTCAAGCAGTTCCCCTGGCAATTTTGGCACGCTGGGGAACATTTGAGACTTGCTTTTATGCAGCCTCACTTCGCGCTTTCACAGTCTTTCGTGCATCGACAGAAAATCGAAAAATTATATAATAGGTAGTGTTGGTCGTGAACATCGCCCCCGGCGGTGTAGACACCTACTTATTTAGGTAACGGCCAACACTGCCAGTTTTCTTACCGGGCGACGCAGGTACCCCCTTTAGTCAATACGTCTACTACCCCCTTTTTTTTATACGCAGGCAAAAAATACTATTTACAGACGACGGCGCCTTTAAGAGGCACACCGCCGAACGGACCTCACACCTGGCTCCCGCAAGCCTTACGAGCCCCAGCAGTGGCTGCCCACTGAGGACCCCGTAACCCTTACGGGCGCTTTACGGCATAATATCCGCTAAAAAACCCTGCGAACACCCTCTAAGCTGCTTAGTGCGAAGCCGCAGAATCCCCGTTTAGGGATTCTTCCGCGTCTCCGCACCTAGCATCCTCCCGGCCTTGCCGAGGTTCCGCGACAGGGGTCTCCCGGGGTATCGCGAGGACCCCACAGACGTGCGCAGGACGGCCCGCGCGTGGGGGCTGAGTACGCGGCCTAGTGCCCACCGTACCGCCCCCATACGTCTACAACCCTAACAATTTTGTCCTTAAATAGCTTTTCACTTTTGTGAAAGTCTCATGTCGCTAGGATGCATAGTTTTCGAGATATATGCGAAAAACCTAAAAATGGGACCTTCAAGCCCCCCCCCCCTCCCCCCGGCTTACTAGGGCTACTTAGGGCTACGGGCGGGGACTTTTGATATGTTTACCTCCTAACTAGTCCTAACAAAGTTACGAAGTCAAAAATTGTGTTCCAAGCATTTCCCTCTATACCTGTTTTTGAGCATTCGTTGCCTGGACTATAATATATTTATTTCTATTTTCGAAACCATGTGAAGAAGCTGCATAATGTATAGGCTACTTGCCCAAATATCCATCCTGTTCTATCTATCTGTAATATGCCTAATGCTTATCCCACAAGCCCACTAAAAATTAGCGTTAGAACTTGGAATTAAGTACGCTCCTTTAGCTGCACATACAAATTTATTGTTATCCACAGCCACTTTTAGTGTGTCAAATTATCGTCGTCTTCATAACGACAGAACGAATAGTCCAGTCAAATTACGGAAAAAAAAGGGCTAAAAAAACATGAGCGAGCACAGTTTGGGGATTTTGAGGATCGATAGGGGGGTGCATCCTGAGCTTAAGTTCCAATTTGAGGGGCTGTACTGAGGTCAGCTCAAGGTCATTTCGATGCAAACGCGTTTAATTCGATATCTCGAGAAATATCAGTGTTAGCCAAAAAATTATAGAGACCTTTTTTCTTCTAAATGAAATTTATTAACTTTTTTATTTAAAACTTTTTTTTGTAACATCAATATTTTTTAAGTTATTACTCCCGCAAGGCAAAAATTTCATTTTTTCCCCTATTTTTCGTCGTTTTCTCCCCAAACATTCAATTTTATTGAATTTTACCGATCATCAACGTGTATATCTTTTAATTATGCACAATTTTGTTCTTAAACTTTTTTCTGTAACTTCAATACCTTCGGAGTTATTAACTTCCATCGACCTCGGGTGCTTAATTTTCCGAATTTTATAACCTATTTTTTGTATCAATAAATGTGTGAAACAGTTTTAATTGTTAATTTACTTGTTACCCAAACAAACCCATAAATTTACCCAAATTAAATACCCAATTTTTAAATAGTTTAATCGATTTACCCTTTTATATTGCGACAGTGGCGTGGATTTCGCTCGGTAAAATAATATATAACTCCGAAGGTATTGAAGTTACAGAAAAAAGTTTAAGAACAAAATTGTGCATAATTAAAAGATATACACGTTGATGATCGGTAAAATTCAATAAAATTGAATGTTTGGGGAGAAAACGACGAAAAATAGGGAAAAAAATGAAATTTTTGCCTTGCGGGAGTAATAACTTAAAAAATATTGATGTTACAAAAAAAAGTTTTAAATAAAAAAGTTAATAAATTTCATTTAGAAGAAAAAAGGTTTCTATAATTTTTTGGCTAACACTGATATTTCTCGAGATATCGAATTAAACGCGTTTGCATCGAAATGACCTTGAGCTGACCTCAGTACAGCCCCTCAAATTGGAACTTAAGCTCAGGATGCACCCCCCTAACGATCCTTAAAATCCCCAAACTGTGTTCGCTCATGTTTATTTGATTCCGTAATTTGACTGGACTAGAATTCAAATTTCGAACGATAATTTAAGCGCCTTTGGTACCAAAACCATCCGAAGCTTCGTCGCGCAGGTGTGGGACAGGTTTAGGGTTACCATCCGTCCGGATTAGTACAGGACTTTTAGACTATAGTCCAGACTTTGTCAGGATCTTTACATTGTCTGGATTTTTTTAAATTACATTGAATATGAGTAGTAAAAGTACATAATGATTTAAATACCATACCATTGTAACTAAGTGAGTAATTTTACCATTTTGTGACTAAAAAGTCCGGACTTTTTTCGAAATGTCAGGATTTTTGAAATTACTTAATGGTAACCCTAGACAGGTTAACAATATTAAGGATAAAGGGACATTATGTTGATCTTTGCATGACGTATCGCTATTCGAAGTCCATAGACATATCTATAACAATGTTAACTCTTCCAGGTGGTCCTATACGTGAAAGGTGCCGACAGCACAGTGCTAGGCGCGTTGGCTCCCATGCGCTCAGGCTCACCGGAAGCGGCCGCTTACGAGAGAACCCGCACGCTACTGTCGGACTACTCGCGCGCGGGTCTGCGTACGCTGGTCATGGCTAAACGCACCATGCAGCCGGCACTGTGGGAGGAATGGTTGGCAGGGCACGTACGGGCCAGCGAGATCGGCGAAGGTGAGTGTTATAACCTTCTTTTCAGACTATATCTTGGAAAGTGCTGTATTCTCTTTTTGAAAATAAAGCAGACCGTAAGTGATTTCTGTTATAACCAAAATCTATCATTCCATTGTTAAGAAAATTTAATTGTGCTGTTTTTCTGAGTCATATCGATATGAACCTTATAAATTGCTAAAAAGCAAAATGGCTAAACGAATTTGGATTTTGGAACATACAGGATGTTACAAAAATACAAATAAAGCTTGAAGGGCGTTGAAGTACATCATATAAGGAGTCTTCTCTATTTTTTTTTAAATATTTGCATGAAGTTTTCTTTTTTTGTAAAAACAGTTATTTTTTATGATTAATAAAAATATCGATCTTTTTAAGACACGTCACTAGTTTGAGGATCATTAAAAATAACTGTTTTTATAAAAAGTTAAAACTTCATGCAAATATTATAAGAAAATTAGAGAAGACTAATTAATATGATGTATTTCAATGCCCTTCAAATTTATTTGTATTTTTGTAACACCCTGTATATAATAATATATAGTTTATGACATAGAATAAGACATAGAATCCCGAAAAAATACTAGCTTTCTGAGGGAAGTTGCGAGTGTCCGCTAGTAGTACAAATTAAATTTGTTATTAGTAGTCGTTTTGTATGTTCATTTAATCTTGAATCTTAGGGGTGAAACTATTTTTGTGTGTATCATGTAAACTTAATTATGCCAATTTAATGCGCTTTAACTAATAACTTAAGTCACTTCATGACATAAGCTCTTTTGTGTGACCTCTAAGTGTCATGGTGTACATACACATAATTTATCATGTCCACCCATCATGTGAATTACTCAAATGTGGTATTTTTAGTGGTGAACAGGTGATTTTTTTCTTAAGGCCTATATTATAAATTAGTTGTTCAACGTAAAACTAGAATTGTCATTATCGAAATATCCACTTTTACTAAAATAACGTAAAATGCTTTTTCATTTAAACGAAACATTAAATGCTTAACAGACTAAAATCTTCTTTAAAAAACTCAACGAATATTCCTTGAACAATATCGAATAACTAAGAATATATTAATAATGTAAATTATTTACAAATATTGTTATGAAAATTATACCAATAACAAATAAGTTGCCAATGATTTTTGGAATGAAATTATATATAACGAATTTGGCCTATAATGGCCTTTTTATGGGTCCGTTCTTCGTAAGGCCAAAATGTTTCTAAGAAGGTTAAATAAATAAATATTTCCAACTAATTTTTAGTAAGTTCCATATACCCTAGCAACGTCAACCGTCAAACTGTTGATTGGCCGTATAAAGAACTACCGACATATTTTAACTAAAATCGAAGCAAAATTATTATTATTTTCTTTAGTACCATAACAAATCCTTATTACCGTCAACCCAAGTTACCGTAAAAATAAGGCAATAATAGGTTATTTACATAGCAAATTTACCTTTAGTTGTAAGCGCATTAAAATTTTACCGTCGACGACCTAATTCTCCGAAGCGAGGGACCGCAGACACAAAATAGCAACGCGAAAGACTCGCCGCCCCGCCTGTGTTCATGAGTTTGATGGAGCTTTGTGTGAGTGGGAGAAATTTATCGTAACATGACATTAACTATGTTTTTTTTAAAGTGGGCCTTCAAAGCCACATGCCATTCCATGGTCCACCCATCCACCTTATATAATTTCTTTCTGTGACTTATAATACCGGTGTATTGGGTGACACAACGCAACCTTGTAATCATCAAACTTGCTTACTTCATATGAATAATAGAAGTAACTTACAAGCGGACAAGTATTGTTCACAATTAATTACTTATTCGAAGCTTTCTTTCTTCTTAATTGAGGACGAACGAATACTAAAATATTCACTTTTTAATAGGTACTTCGATTAGACACAGTTACATAGTTACTTAATACTGCGGTAATCGGTGTATATTTCTTATTATTTTTTTATGCCACTTTATTAAATCGACGTTGACTTTGCTTAAATATAGCAGCAGGTAAAATTATAATGGCTTCTGCCATTATTTTATAAGCACAATTTATAAGCACAATGTTGGCTAAGACGTATTAGACATTGCATAAGCTTGCCATTCAACGATATTAAATACCCTAGATACACCAACACGAACAAAATCGTGCCCGAAGACTGTCCAAAAGGTACATTGGACGATCCACGGCGCTCTGTAAGATGATCGGGTAGTCAAAAACAATATATGCGGAAGAATATAAACCTTATTTCTTTGACTCTACTCGCAATTCTGAATGCGCTGTTAGCAATATAGCAGGTACGGACCGCGAGGAAAAGAGACGGGTATATTACCGACCATACCACAAATATTTTCTATTAAATCAGTTTATAGTAAGTATTAGAACAAACTTTGCTTCGAATGTGTTAAATTAACAAACATTGTTTAAATACCTGTCGAAAAAACGTAATTTTTTCACGGAGCTCTACCGCAACTTGACTTTTTCAACGGTAAACGCGTGACTGTGAACCAAGAATTGCTTGAGTGGTGTTCAAGCACTTCTTGATTTGGACACATTTTGAGAGCACGTGGTGTATCTAGGGTATTTAATATCGTTGAATATTGCGCTAGCTGCGAATCTGTTGCGTTTAATGTCACCCCTGAATTGAAAAAGATTATTACAGAAAATCGGACTGAAAGTTTTTAACCTTATTTGAATGACAAGTTATGGTGACGCTTTAGCTTTAGCGCTTCCCCTTAGCTAAGGGACCAACTTTGTATACATACATCGTAAAAACTTGTATACTATCTACTCAGTATCAAAAACAAGTTGGTTAATATATATTAATACATATTGTAATTGTTGTTACACCGGACAATGTTATTGCAAATTTTTTCTTTTGAGTTTGCATGCATCATCTGTCAGTTCTTCGTTACTTAAAAGTGCAAAATGGATTTTAATATTTTTTATGTATGCATGAAGTATGTTGAATAAGTATTCTACAATTGGGATCATTACCCGTTATCAAATAATATTTTCATTAATATATTACGTACATAGTAATACAAGCAAGCCTCGATTTATAAAGATTTCGTGATTTACTTTGTCTCATTAGAATTATAAATTTGGAAATAATGTCATTTAGTAATAGGGAAAAATTATGAATTTGAGTTTCCGTAACTAACATTTAGCTTCCATATAAAGAAGTGTGTCGCTTACTCACCCGTGATAAGCTTAAGGTTAAACAAATTACTACATGCGTTACATGACTACAAATACTACAATCAATCTTTTTCCCCATCGCAACCATGTTTGGTTATCGACGTATATGATTATTTTGTTTGTTTTTCTAGTGTGCAAAGCATGTGAAGAACGATATTACTAGCGAACTAATTGATCTCTATAGAGATCTCTCATGCGTAATCTTTATATGATTCCGACGTAATGTCTAAACATTACGTCGGAATCATATAAAGATGCTCGTCCACGTACCACTTCTGGAGGCCCCTGGGCCACAGCCCCGCCTGCCCTACCTTAAATCCGGCCCTATTCACATCATAGAACGTGACAAGCGTATTCGAGATTCGCTCATTTGGCTGGAGAGCGTTATAACTTTAGTAGGCGCGACCGGGATGGAGTATAGCTTGCCAGAATCGGTGCCTCGTTCTGTACTTGTGTTGCTGGACGCCAGTAACATCTTGTATAAAGACTAGCCGCAGACGAGTCATATGAATCATTGGCGTTAGATTTAATTTGGTATTTTTAACATTGTAGGGCGGGACAAGCGTATGCATGATTCGCTCGCGCGGCTGGAGAGCGCACTGTCGTTAGTAGGTGCAACTGGGGTGGAGGATCGCCTACAAGAAGCGGTGCCTCGTACTGTACTTGTGTTGCTAGATATCAGCAACATCGTGTATAGACTAAGCCACAGACAAGTCATATCAATCATTGGCGTTAGATTTAACACGGTGTCTTTAATATTGTAGGGCGTGAGAAGCGTATACGTGATTCGCTCGCGCGGCTGGAGAGCGCCCTGACGTTAGTGGGCGCTACTGGGGTGGAGGATCGCTTGCAAGAAGCGGTCCCTCGTACTGTACGAGCTTTGCTAGACGCCGGGATCATCGTGTGGGTGCTCACTGGAGACAAACCAGAGACGGCCATCAACATCGCTTACTCGGCCGCGCTATTCTCACAGAGCGATCGACTGCTGCATCTCATGTCCAGAGATAAGGTATGTAGTAGTATATATTTGAGGTTATTGTCTTTCTGTTTTATATATTTATGAGACAATATTTCGAAAAGCGCATTCTCTGAACAGAAAATTTCTTGTATAATTTTGTCCAGAGTTTTCAATTCTACATTACAACAGCTAGTGACATGAAAAATATAGAGACAATAAGACAATACCTAATTCTTTAAATAAAAATATTTTTAATATTAAACGCAGGCATCTTACGAATCCATAGAATTACTTGCAGATATTTTATGGTTGTATAATATAATTTTATATGGCAATGACATTTAATTTTGATTCTCAAATTGAGATTATTATACTTTTGCCCATTTTACTTTTTATTAGTTGAAGAAGATTACTCTGAAGATGAAAACCACTAGCACCGACTGCAATAGGGTGCTTGATTTCAAAAATTGGCTAACTCGCGGGCTTTCCTGTTTCAAAAACAATTTGAAACAATTTGATGACAAACAGTCTCTATGAAGTTCAGCTTAGGCCCGATGCTGGCATTGACATGTAATTATAACAATATACTGATGGTCTATCACGGTTTCAAAAGCACAATTATTTCTTAAAATGCTTCACTAAGAAGTTCTACAATGACTTAGAGACTTTATGTCGAAAAAGTGAATTATACAAAATATGCTTTCTTAAGGTTGCTCACACGCGTTTAACCGTGATAGGACAATATAATATTCGCCACGTACGTAACTCAGAAATCCGGCTGGTAGGACCAATTTAAGGAACTCTGCTTTTGTTACTTTAGGAACACGCGGAATCGACGATCAAAAGTTACTTGGAAGGCGGGGCGGGAGAAACTGCGGGCGGGCGGGCGTTGGTAGTAGACGGGCGCACGCTGACGTACATCCTGGACCGGCGCTCCGGCCTCGTGGCGCCCTTCCTGTCACTGGCGCGCCGCTGCTCCGCCGTGCTCTGCTGCCGCGCCACGCCGCTGCAGAAGGCGTACATCGTCAAGGTAACGCTGGCAGTGGACGGGCGCACGCTGACGTACATCCTGGAGCGGCGCTCCGGGCTCGTGGCGCCCTTCCTGTCGCTGGCGCGCCGCTGCTCCGCCGTGCTCTGCTGCCGCGCCACGCCGCTGCAGAAGGCGTACATCGTCAAGGTAACGCTGGCAGTGGACGGGCGCACGCTGACGTACATCCTGGAGCGGCGCTCCGGGCTCGTGGCGCCCTTCCTGTCGCTGGCGCGCCGCTGCTCCGTCGTGCTCTGCTGCCGCGCCACGCCGCTGCAGAAGGTGTACATCGTCAAGGTAACGCTGGCAGTGGACGGGTGCACGCTAAAGTACATCATGGACCGGCGCTCCGGGCTCGTGGCGCCCTTCCTGTCGCTGGCGCGCCGCTGCTCCGCCGTGCTCTGCTGCCGCGCCACGCCGCTGCAGAAGGCGTACATCGTCAAGGTAACGCTGGCAGTGGACGGGTGCACGCTAAAGTACACCATGGACCGGCGCTCCGGGCTCGTGGCGCCCTTCCTGTCGCTGGCGCGCCGCTGCTCCGCCGTGCTCTGCTGCCGCGCCACGCCGCTGCAGGAGGCGTACATCGTTAACTTAATGCTGGCAGTGGACGGGCGCACGCTGACGTACATCCTGGACCGGCGCTCCGGGCTCGTGGCGCCCTTCCTGTCGCTGGCGCGGCGCTGCTCCGCAGTGCTTCATAACCTTAACTCATTTAGGGTAAGAACTCACAGAGCTGTTTTACCGCGCCCGCCGCGGGCGAATGCAAAGCTGCTTTATTTCAAAACTCACTAGACCGCAGTTTTCTGCGGTCCTACAGGCGCCACAGTTGCAAAATCGGGCGAAATCCCGCAGACGCTCCCTGCGGCTGCCGCAAACACTCGCGCGCTCTGCGGGCGCAAGTTGAGATTTGCTTTTGCGTTTTACCTACAATATCACATTCTGCGCGAGTTGCGGTCCCGCAGACGCGAGAAAATCGCGCCGTGACTTCTTAGACTTCGATACCTATGTCGGTAGATACGTCTGCCCGGTTGACGTACCAACCCTAAGGAGCTGAGAAGCGGACGGTCATTTTTGACCACCGTTCCTTCCGACGGAATAGACTATTTGATAGTATGAAAAATAATATACCAATTGTTTGTATCTGTATTTAATATGAATATTAGCAGCGATTTCACTAGTCTGAAGAAACAAATAATTTATAACTTTTCTATAAAATCGTTGAATATAAATAATTTTTTTGGTCCATGGTCGAAAGCGCCTGGGATTGGACAAGACTAAAATGACGTCACACGCTAGTATACTACCGGCCAAATTGACCTTACAGTGTATCGTTTGACGTTTTAATGAAATTCGTGTGACGTCACACACTAGTGAGACGCCATAATGTCCAGAGAAACGTTTTCGCGGCAATGTCACGCCCGCCGTGGAGCGCTTTGTACGCCGGGTTTCATGGTGTCGCGGGCTCGAGAGTGCCCGGTTTCGAATCCCGGTGGGGGCAGATATTTGTGTGATGAATACGAGCATTTGTACTCCAATCATGGATGTTTAATATGTATTTCTATAAAAAAAATGTACTTATATATGTACAGTATATGTATTCTATCCGTTACCCTAGTATCCCATAACACAAGCCTTACAGTGCTTTTTTTGTGCTAGGCTAATTATTGGAGAGCGTTGGAAATATTAATTTCGTTAACTTGAAAATTTAATTTGTAATTGACTTCTTTTCACTGAATTACACGACAGAATTAAAAATATTCTCTTTTTGTGGACTCCATAAACATCAGCAAATAACGTGAGATCGTTTTCTGAAACTTATAAAATATCCTATTATTTTAGTGTGTTTAAAAATAAATTATGGTAATTAAACAAATTTATACGCGAGTGATATTGAGATTAGCGACGAGAGTATTTATATATTATCTAGGATTAATCCTTAAGTTTGCTTACGACACAGTTTTAAAAAAGACTTTTGATTTCAGGCTGTAAAAGAGGAACTGGGAGTCACTACATTAGCGATAGGAGACGGCGCAAACGATGTCTCTATGATACAAACGGCCGATGTTGGAATCGGTAAGTAATTTTGGTATTTTATTGACTGGAACGCATTACTCTCGAGTCATCCGAGAGAAGTTTATTTCCTTAAGCGTTTCTTCAGAATATAAATAAATTGTTTGCGACATATTGGGCGCAATTTTACCATGATTAAATTTGACATCAGCCTTTCGTTTTTAACCGACTTCAAAAAATGAGGCGGTTCTGTGTTCGAATGTATATATTTTTTTATGAATTTTCACCGATTTCTCCGTCAATTGTGGACCGATTTCCAAAATTATTTTTATTCGAAAGAGTGCACTTCCGAGGTGCTCCCATTGGAACCAAATCAGCATCTGATGGTGGCATCCGGGGAAATCGAGGGAAACCTTCAAATTTCAAAGGCATGCACAATGTTTACGCATGTTCACCGATTTCTCCGTTAATTGTGTTATTTTTTACTTGGACGATGTAATTTTCACTAAAATGGATTAAATAAAAAAATGTGTGCGTGTACTAGTGTACACAGGTAAGAAGTGAAACTTCTTTATGGCCTTATTTTTTTCGAAAAATGATCTACATGCAACTTTCCAGAAATATATATATATATATAGGCGTGCGCTAAGATTTTTCAAAAACTCACCCACTAAAGGGGTATAACTACACCTTACCTTACCTTACCTTACCTTACCTTACCTTACCTTACCTTACCTTACCTTACCTTACCTTACCTTACCTTACCTTTATGACTCACAACAAGTACTCAATAGCTTTAATAAGCGAACCTTATATAGGCAACAGCAATTTTGTCAATAAAATCCCAGGATTAGATGTTATACAGTGCCCAATACCAACTACATTGAATAGTCCAGTTAGGGCTTGCATTTTTATTAAGTCCAAATATCATAACCCAATATTTATGTCGCAATTTTCAACTGCTAATATTACAACCATCAAACTTACCTTTAATAATAGAGAAGTTCTTATTTCTTCTGTATATGTAGAGCCTAACAATGATATTAACAACACACTAGACATGATCGACTACGTACTCAAAGCCAATGCGAGCAGGTGTTGTATAGTTGGCGGGGATCTAAACGGTTGGCACTCTCTTTGGGGAAGCTCCAGAGACAACCCCAGGGGGCGCGACATTGTTGGACTCACTTACGCTGATGACATGCACATATGTAACACTGGCAATGAACCGACTTTTGAAGCAGTCACAGATGGGCTGCTTCGGACGTCGATCATTGATATAACTTTAATAAGTGAAGAGTATCAAGAGATGGTCACACACTGGAAGGTTAACCGAGACGCTGCTCCATCATCTAATCACAATGCCGTTGAATTCAGTCTCACAGTACGGTGCCAAGAACCATCTATTCGCACTAACGACTCCACCTTTTGCTATAGAAGCGACAAGGCGAACTGGACCGAATTTCACCAAGTCCTCACTTCCAAGATGGCATCTAAGGGCCTTATTGAACAAGACATCGAAACAATGACCATTGAGCAAATAGATAACGCCATCGACGACACTATGGAAATAATCAACCATGCATGCATGAACTCTATGCCAGTTCGCAGGGGGCAACCAAAACACAAAGCTCCATGGTGGTCAGAACGGCTAGAGGAATTGAGAACAAAAACCCTCCAACTTCACCGCAAACTAAGTCAAAATAAGAAACGGGGTCTCCCTCTGGACGAAGTACTTGAAGAACAAAAGATTATCAAAGAGGAGTACTCGCGGGAGATGAGAGAGACCTCAACAAAACAATTTCGGGAATTCTGCAACCGCCAGGGCAAGGAAAACGTGTGGGCTGTCACCAATCGGCTTCTGAAAACCGGAAAAGCAAAGACGACACCCGCTACACTTAAAATTGGGAACATCCACACGTCTAACGCGAAGGAGTCTGCGGAGGCACTTCTTGAACATTTCTATCCTGAGGACTCTGGTGATACACGCTCCAGACATCATCTACTTAGAAATACTGTGGACGACTTACCTAACAGCAACAATGACGAACCATTCACACAAGCTGAAGTTCTTGAGGCTATCGGACTAATAAACCCAAGCAAAGCGCCAGGAGATGACCTATTTACGGCGGACATCGTTTCTGCCTTCTGCCATGCATATCCAGCTTTCATTACTGACTTATTCAACAGGTGTCTAGCCTTACATTACTTTCCAACTTGCTGGAAGAAAGCAATTGTTAAAATCATACCTAAACCTAATCAGACAGATCCAACAGCTCTCACATCATACAGGCCTATTGGTCTTATATCAGTGTTTGGAAAACTTTTAGAGAAGCTTATCGTGTCTCGACTTGTGTTCGGCGCTGACAGTAGGAATCAGTTTAGCTCACGACAATTTGGGTTTAGATCCCAAAAAACGACAACGCAAGCCATCAGCACATTTATAGACGAAATTAAAAAACGCAAACAAGAAAAGGAACTTGTGGTCGCGGTCAGCCTAGACATTAAAGCAGCATTTGATAATGCGTGGTGGCCAGCTCTTTTCCACAGATTGAGACAAATAAACTGCCCACAAAATATTTACTTAACTCTCATAAACTACTTCGAAAATCGCATAGTAAAACTCACCTACGGAAACGCGATCGCCATCAAGACCATGTACAAAGGATGCGTCCAGGGATCGGTCTGTGGTCCTATAATGTGGAACCTCATCCTAGATGAACTTCTGGATCAGGTGAGTCTTCCCTCCGGCTGCCACCTCCAAGCCTTCGCCGATGACGTACTCCTTGTGACCTCTGCATCAGCTATCCAAGACCTGGAAGTAAAAACAAACACAGCATTAAACATTATTGATACCTGGGGAGAGGACGTCAAGCTGAAATTCGGTCCTTCCAAAACTCAGCTTGTCGCCTTCACCCCAGCGGCAAAACAAGCAAATATATACATGACAAATCAAAAACTGAACTTTGAGACCAAAATGAAATATCTAGGCATGATCATAGACGAAAAGCTAACCTTTAAGGAACACGTTCAGTATATCACGGAGAAAGCTCTCAAGCTACACAAACGCTTGAGCGTCTTCACGAGAGCCACTTGGGGTCCACATCCTGAAAATATACGGACTATTTACAATCAACTAATTGTACCAATAGTAACATATGCCGCTGGTGTTTGGGGTGGAGCCGCCAAAAAAGAATACGTCCGCACGAAGCTCGACAGCCTGCAGCGACTTTTCGCGATCAAGGCCATCAGAGCTTTTAGGACCGTCTCCACTGTTGCGGCAACTGCACTCGCCCGCATGACACCTCTACACCTAAAGGTGGAAGAGGTCTGGCGCATTGAGCAAGCTCGCCTCACAGGAAGGACGGAAATACTGCCGGACGATATCGAAATGGAACGGCCGACACCCGTACACCAACTGCTACCGCCTCCCAATAGGATAACAGTTGAATACAAAATTGCCACCAACGATCAGGAAATCGACCGCATTTGCCCGCCAGGATCCACCCGGGTGTATACCGACGGAAGCAAACTTGACACAGGGGAAGTGGGAGCTGCTTTCGTTGCGTACCACCCTGAGCAGAAACATCCCCAAACCACTCGAAAATTCAAGTTACACTTCACGTGTACAGTATTTCAAGCGGAACTGCTCGCTATCCACCGAGCCTGTGAGTGGGCGCTGGGCTCCCGGTCAAACTCATACACCATCTTAAGCGACAGTATGTCCTCCCTACAAGCACTGACTGATCGCAGCAACACAAATCCTCAAGTGGCTCAGATACACAAAACCATACACACTGCAGAACTGGCAAATAAAACTATTTCCTTCATCTGGGTCAAAGCCCACGTAGGTATCAAGGGAAACGAGGAGGCCGACTGTGCTGCGAAAGCAGCTGCAACGCTGCACAGCAGATACAATTACGCAATGTTTCCCATCAGCTACGTTAAACACCAAATAAAGGAAGAAACACACAGTAAATGGATAGAAACGTACAGGGATACTGTCGGTGTTGCAGAACATACCAGAAGGATGTGTCCTGAACTGGAAGACGTCACAAAAGTGATGGAACAGTGTGGCGCATCCTTTTGGCTGTCTCAGGTCCTTACAGGACATGGATATCACCGGCAGTATCTGTGTAGGTTTAAAATCATAGATAATGACATTTGCCCCTGCAATAGCGGGGCAATTCAGAACATTGACCACCTACTATTCGAGTGCGGTAGATATGCAAGAATTAGACACGAATATCTTTCATGCTGTGATTTTCATAAAATCAACCCACGCAATATGATTGAAACAGCCTCAAACGAAAAAACCCGAGTAGCAATGCTCGAATTCATTAAGGGAGTATTTGGAACACTAAAGCAGTTCAATGGAACATAGCCATACTTGGCTGGGTAGAAATATATAAAATAACATATTTTATTAGTAATTAATATTGTATATATATATATCAACATTATACATATGAACATATATATAATATCATATAATATCAAATATATAATCAAAAATACATACCCACAGTGAAACACGAATTAAACATCATGAACACAAAGGTTTTGCTGTATCAAATCGCAGCACACCAAACCTGCAACCTGAAAAACAAACACATAATTATAATAATACCTTACCTTACCTTACCTTACCTTACCTTGTGTGAAACACGAATATTTGCTGTCGATACTTTTTTTTTTTTAAAGTTGACAGAAGAAGTAATTGTTCGGATGAGGTAAATAGTGCTCTTTTAAAAAAAAGATGGCGCGTAACCAAAAAACGTGACGCGTAACGTCCGAAAAAATGTGATGGTAAATTTTTTTCCAACGCCGATAAAGAAGTTTCACTTCAAAAAATTTAAAGCAAAAAATAAAACCGACTTCAAAATCGAAAAAGGAACTAAAGAGTAAAAAATAATATCTGGTTCATGATTTGGAAGTCAGGCGGGGTCAAGATTGGAATATTAAATAGATTTATTTTCGTTTCTGATCGGTAATAATACGTCTTTCAATCTTGACCCGCCCGTCTTCCAAATCATTAACCAGATATTATCATTAAAGAAGTGAGATAAGGACAATTGCCAAATCTATTTGTAACTTTAGAGAATCGGGCCTATTATCTATATAAATATAAATTTGCTATAGGTTTGTCTGGCCAAGAAGGGCGGCAAGCTGTGATGGCATCAGACTTCGCGTTGTCCCGGTTCAAGTTTCTCGAGCGATTGCTTTTAGTCCACGGCCATTGGTGTTATGACCGACTCGCCAGGATGATACTGTACTTCTTCCTCAAGAACGCCGTAAGTACTGATCGTTGTACTGTTTATGAGCGATTATTGTTATTACACGGCCACTGGTGTTACGATCGGCTCACCAGGATGATACTGTACTTCTTCCTCAAGAACGCCGTAAGTACTGATCGTTGTACTGTTTATGAGCGATTTTTTTATTACACTGCCATTGGTGCTACGACGGGGCGCCAGGATGATACTGAACTTCTCCCTCAGGAACACCGTAAGTACTAATCGTGATAACGTTTTATGAGTACTGTAGATACTGTACTTCTTCTCAAGAACGCCGTTATTTATAATTTTTCACACAGTTTTTAAATAGTCTAGTTTGACTAGGGTTTTTTTTAACCTTACGCCACTGTGCGGAAAAATCATCGTTGCAAAATAAGGGTAATCGAAATTTCAGAACACCTTTAAATTGGTTTCCGGTCAATAATTTCAACACTCGCAAACTAGATACTTTTCGCGAAATACTGAGCTAACAATACGTTGGACAATTGCGACCAATTCAAATGAGCTATTACTCAATATGGGTTTTACAGATCACATGAGCGGATCCGCGGATAAAATATTAAAGCTCGATCTATATATTCGTACAAATCTCTTTTTATTATTCTTATTTTATTAAGACAGTCCAATATCTAAAGCACGACCAAGTAGCGATAAAGTATTTGATATACATATGAAAGAGCTAGTTTGTTTTACGCCCAATAGGGGCGCTGCTCAGTTTCCGCTGAAACTTTGACATGGTGATACGAATACGGTACCCCAAGCACTTACATTGACAGATTCGTTCTAGCTGTACAGATAATAACTGTGATTGAATTATCACCACGATTATGACTCTTTAATGCTACTAAAAATTCAAGGAGGAGCTCGATGGCGCAAGTGGTAAGCTCGTACGGTTGTGATCGTTGAAGTTAAGAAACTTTCGCAGTGGTGGATCATTGAATGGGTGACCAAAAATTTACTATCCCGAGCTGCTCCGTGCTTCGGAAGGCACGTAAAGCCGTTGGTTCCGGCTGCATATGCAGTTGTTAGCACCCACCAATCCGCACTGGGCCCGCGTGGTGGGTCATGGTCCAAACTCCCTATCCATCCATAGGGAAGGCCTGTGTCCCAGCAGTGGAGACATTAATAGGCTGATAATGATGATGAATGCTACGTAAAAAAGTGGATTAAAAGTGAAATTTTTAGGTTATAACATTAGTTTGACTGTACAATTTGTTTTATTTATTATTCTTGTGACGGAATATTTTATTCCATGTAAAACTTTTAGTTATTATTGTTTTATAAAATAATCAATTTAATCCACAGACGTTCGTGTTCCTGGTCTTTTGGTACCAACTGTACAACGGCTTCTCGGCGATGGTGATGATCGACCAAACGCATCTCATGTGCTACAACCTGATATTCACCGCCATCCCACCGATTGTCATAGGTAAGAATACAATATTATAATTACTACCGGCCATTCAAGTAGAAAACCAGTAAACCATTTTTATAAAGACAATTAACAATTAATGTAATACATTAAATTTTTACACGCCAGACCAAACCTACATATAATACACGCATGAATCGAGTTTCTAAGGACCATTATAATAAAAGGGTATTTGACAAGTTTTAAAAAACGATCTCACGTTATTTACTAATGTTTATAGAGTCCATAAAAAATGAATATTCATCATTATGTTGTGTATTTCGGTAAAAAAACCAAATCAAAAACTCTATTTTCAAGTTGCCGCGAAAAACGTATCTCTGGACAATATGGCGTCTCACTGGTGTGTGACGTCACTCGACTGTCATTATAACGACAAATCATACAATCAAATGTCACTTTAACCGGAAGTTTACTTGAGTGTGACGTCATTTTAGGCTCCACCAATCCCAAGAGTTTTGGGTCACGTGACAATAGACAAGAAAACTATTATCTTTTTCGTGGGTTTTTAGTAAAATTATGAATATTTTTTCTATAAAAATAGTAAAAACTCCTGCCAATATTCATTCTAAATACAGATGCTAACAATTGGCACTCTATTTTTAATACTTGCAAATACTCTATTGCTAATTACACACTAACTTGCCTGCTACCATGTCAATATAATACTCATTCTTACTGGCTCCAATATTACTATGTCGTAATCGTCGTAATACAGGTGCGTACGACCACGGGCTAATGAACGAGCAAACCGGGCTATACGCGGGCTAGCGGCTACAAAGCGCATGGCTTCTACCTCTTAATGGCTAAATATTGAAGTTCGCCTTGGTTTATTTACATTTGGCCTTTTGTTTCGGTAAACAGGCGCATATGACCGCGTCGCACCTGCGGGCTTACTGACCGAGCGGGCCGGCCTATACGCGGCCTCGCGTCGCGGCCTAGCGTACAGGGCGCATTCCTATTGGCTGGTGCTGGCCGAGAGCATCTACATCAGCCTGGTGATATTCTTCACTGCGGCCGCCGCCTACTGGGACACCGCCGTCGGCATCTGGACCTTCGGCACGTGCTGCATGACCTGCTGCCTTATAGTCATGCTCGTGTACGTCGCCATAGAGACTAGGAGCTGGGTGAGTAACATAAAGTAACAACAATAATTAACAATATTTTTTATTCAATTATGTGACATAGTATTCATTAATTTGATAAAAAACCTATGTAAATTTGCATGATCCGGTCTATAGCTGAATAGGTGAAACCTACAGTATGGTTATGTGTAACTTTTTATGACCTTGATTACCCTGTTCAAACGCAAATAATAAAAAAACTGTTCTATTCTATGCTTTATGTTTATTCAAAAACTAAATGCTAAATTCAATTAGCTTTCAATTTGTAGATTTCCCTAAATATAAAGTTTTGTTTCATTATTAGATCAAATTTATCAATCTCTGAAAGTTAACTGACTAGTGAATGAGCCATCTTTAAGAAATGCAGCTACCTTATAGTCGATAGCGCATTACCAATTATGGTTTCGTATATAGAAGTAGTAATTACACATCAAAATGCTTGACATTTTGTAAGTCACTGCTTCTAGACAAGAAGAAAAATCATTGATACAGGCATATCTATTTTCGCTTCAATAACATTTTATTAGTTCAAATGTGAGGGTACTATTATAAAATAAGTCTTCTGCACGTCTTAATAGTATTTAAATTGTTTCGAGATGGATTTACATATTATGATTTTGATTGTGTATTATATATCTGTGGGTGTTTACTTGCAGCTATTCTTTAAGACACTTGTAAGTGGAATTGGACTGCCCTAACACAGGGGTAGTCCAGCGTGTGCTTCTTAGATTTAGTTGAGTGAGTTGGCTTAATGCCGCAACTTCACTTGGCTATTCGTATTTGCAAACTTGATAACAGTCCGCCTTATCAAGATTTATAAGGAACGAAAAGGACAGACTGGTTTCAAGTTGACAAATAGCAAACACGAATAGCCAAGTGAAGTGCCGGCATAACACTACGCTGATATACAAATTGACATTCATAGTTCCTTCTTAGCTTTGTATAGTATAACTTACTTGATGTTAAGGGTTCCGTCACGAAAAAGTGATAAACCAGCCTTATTACTGAACCTGTGCTTTCAAATAAAATGAAATTAAAAAAATAAAGCATATTTTCATAAAAGTATTTTTTTTGTATGTGTACAAGTCACTACTCTGGTGTGAACGTAGTTGCACTTGCGTGTTTGTCACGCGTGAAGGAAAATGCACCACTCTTGATGTCTGTTTTCTGATATAATAATGGCAAAATAAATGTTCTACACACATAATGCAAAATCTATAAAATTCATAAATAATAATTTTAAGTTAATGACGTTACTTTCTTTGCGGCAACAATAGATTAAGATGACACGTCATTTCGACAATCAAAAAAATAAAGGAAAGAATAACTTTCATTAACCTTTCACAAATGGGTGCCCGCGACATTGTGTGCACCAATTTTCATGGAGAGTATTGTTGCATTTTACCTAGGCTAAGTAGCTCCAGATTCGAGTAACTACTCCGGGGTCTGGTTCATAAGATCGACAGACCCCTAATGGTGTTTTTCGATACAGCGACTGTCGATGCAGTGACTGTCGATATTATGAACGCCACCCGCTACAAGGTGCCGAAGATTTGATATATAATACTATCTAAGATTACTTATAGTAATTTATGTTATTAACAGGATTGCTGCCATGCACCTTGTTTGAATTGTTTTTGAAGTGAAACTTCTTTACTCACGCTTGACTTGGGGGATAAGCTGGTGAATGCGTTACGCGTTACGAAAAGTGTGTTCGGGCGAGGCGAACGGGAGTTGAGTTAAGATTTAAGCAAGACAGCAGTGCTCGCGCACATTTTCTTTCTCTATTTCTCTTATAGCTAGTAAATGAAATATGTATATGTACATACATGTATATATTGTACACAAATATATATTATGTATACATACAGATGGAGCTAAAGAAGTTTCACTTCAGTCGTGTGGTCATAAGGAAACTCGTTTTTTTTTAAGAGTCCCTGATATTTCGGCACTATTGTAAGCCATGATCACTGAGTCGTTAACTCCGTGATCTTGGCGTGGTTTGGTTACGACCCCGTTAATAACGTAAATTACTATAGTTTTAGTGACCTTTGAAGTTTAAAACAACATAACCATCTACGATCATAGAGGTTTAAGAATAGGCGGCTCTAAAAGTGTCGGTCTAGTAGGAAGAGAGAAGATGAGAGACCGCTAGCTATCTCTCTCTCTCTTGTGACGCGTGGCATCCAATGGCATCACATAGAAGTTATAAGATGCTTACGGTTGCCAATGCGCAAGCGCGATTAGAGAGAGAAAGCTAGCGGTCTCTCATCTTCTTTCTCTTTCTATTAGAGGGACACTTGCACTTGTAGTAGAGTCTATATCTCCCCTACTCTATTCTTATACTTCTATGTCTACGATTGACGATTGCAGACGGTGATCCACCTATTAGCACTCACCGGTTCGCTGCTGGCGTTCTTCGTGTTGACACTGATATACGAGTCTATATGCGTGTCTTGCTTCAACCTGCCCTCCACGTACCGCGTGATGCAGCACGCCATCGCCGACCCCATCTACTGGCTGGTCGTAGTGCTGACCACGGTCACCGCCCTCATGCCCAGGTATTTTAAGGATTATTATAAAGCCGGTGAAATTATTAATATTTTTTTTTTGTATCACGTATTTTATTTTCAGCAAAACTTGATAAGGGAAACTGAATAAAGAGACTTGTGATAAGTGGCTAGATCGTGGTTTAGTTAGAGTATACTTTTTGTACATTTAGGGCGCTTGTTAACAAGCCTGTTTTCCACCGGGTCTAGGCATGGCGGACCCGGCGGAAAACCGTCTCGTTAAGAAGCGCCCTTATTCTTTTCTTTTTTTAATCATCGTGTATATCGATCAAGAGATATAGGATATTATTGTTTCCTGTTTGTAATGTGATGATTTTGTAACGTTATAATATTTATATTATCCTCTTTAAAAAGGCTGTCGTATGTTCTACATAAATTAATGTATTAATCGATCCTGGTCTCGTTAAGAAGCGCCCCTATTCTTTTCTTTTTCTAATCATCTCCGCCTTGTATATCTATCAAGAGTATATTATTGTTTCGTGTTTGTGATGTGATGATTTTGTAACGGTATTGTATTTGTATCAGCCTCTTTAAAAGCTGTCGTTTGTTCTGCATATATTAATATATTAATCGATTCTGGTCCTTTTTAGACTGGCATGGCGCGCGATCCGCAACTCGATACGTCCGGGCACTCTGGGCCGCGCGGTACTGGCGCGCCGACGCCGCTCGCGCCTGCCCTACGCCGCGCACTACCGCTGCGGCAACGCGGCCGCGCATGTATACAGGTACTAGACACACACCTGCAGCATAGCTGGCCTCACTACTGCAACAATACGCCCGGCACCCTGGGCCGCGCGGTACTGGCGCGCCGACGCCGCTCGCGCCTGCCCTACGCCGCGCACTACCGCTGCGGCAACGCGGCCGCGCATGTATACAGGTACTAGACACACACCTGCAGCATAGCTGGCCTCACTACTGCAACAATACGCCCGGCACCCTGGGCCGCGCGGTACTGGCGCGCCGACGCCGCTCGCGCCTGCCCTACGCCGCGCACTACCGCTGCGGCAACGCGGCCGCGCATGTATACAGGTACTAGACACACACCTGCAGCATAGCTGGCCTCACTACTGCAACAATACGCCCGGCACCCTGGGCCGCGCGGTACTGGCGCGCCGACGCCGCTCGCGCCTGCCCTACGCCGCGCACTACCGCTGCGGCAACGCGGCCGCGCATGTATACAGGTACTAGACACACACCTGCAGCATAGCTGGCCTCACTACTGCAACAATACGCCCGGCACCCTGGGCCGCGCGGTACTGGCGCGCCGACGCCGCTCGCGCCTGCCCTACGCCGCGCACTACCGCTGCGGCAACGCGGCCGCGCATGTATACAGGTACTAGACACACACCTGCAGCATAGCTGGCCTCACTACTGCAACAATACGCCCGGCACCCTGGGCCGCGCGGTACTGGCGCGCCGACGCCGCTCGCGCCTGCCCTACGCCGCGCACTACCGCTGCGGCAACGCGGCCGCGCATGTATACAGGTACTAGACACACACCTGCAGCATAGCTGGCTACACTACTGCAACAATACGTCCGGCACCCTGGGCCGCGTGGTACTGGCGCGCTGACGCTGGCGCGCTACCGCTGCGAGACTTGAGTAGTTCACGGAAAAAAGATGAGAATGAACTAGGACACTGCCGAAGACAAACTGTATCTCTATCGTTCAAACTTTATCTCTAGTTCACCTCATCCTTCTCATCACTCGCTCCCGTTAGTTCAATCACTAGAAGGAAGCGAAAGGCTCTGCTCTTTAGGACCTGGAGGCCTACTCTATTTCAACGAAAAACGAAATTTCGATCGAAATTTCGCACGTTCCCTACTCTGTTTCTATTTCATTTCGAAAATTCATTCGTCCCAAAATAGTTTGACATTTAAATTCTCTAAGCCTACTCTAATTCACAAAACTTTTGAACTAAAAGTTGAATTTGACAGATGATTGTTCGAAATTTTAACCTCAAATTGACGAAATGAAAAGTGTTACCTTTTCATTTTCGTTTTGGGATTTTTGTTTAAATTTAACCTAAAATTACTACAAGAGTATTTTTAATTAAGGCTGCTTAGCGTGAGAAACATTTTTTAGTAAGAAAGATTTACAAATAAATCAAATTTTTGATTATTATTGTATTGTCAATACTTCAAAGTGTTACACGACAAATTTAGGTTGACATACATTCGCTTGCATCAACTCTACAAAATTAGTCGGCTAACAATGTCAAAAGAGGTTGTTTTAATGTAATCAAAAATGTTGTAATAAACTAATATTGTTTTGAAGTAAAAGACGTTATCTAAAAAGTGTAGATTAAAAGAACTCACAAACATAACTCATTCCATTCGTTCACGATTATTGTCTGTGATTCCGAACTTTATGTGCGTGTTCGAAGATGAAATAGAGTAGAGTCACTGGCGAAATTTCGTTTAAAATTCGTTCGTTGCCGAAATTTCGGTTCGGAGAAAGGGAGTAGAGCTCCTGGATAATAGGATACATTATTGCAGAAATAAACTTTGAAAGTGTTAGGTTGAGTGAATTTAGGTAAATACAGTGAGCAACTCATGAATTTACCACAAAGTCTAACATTTTTTAAAAGATTCCTTCTTAATACAACTTCTTCACTTCAAAACGTTCTCGATTTTTTGGGCTGATTTGAACTAGCGAGCTAGGAAAACCTAGGCAGAACATTTTGAATTTAAGAAAATATTGCAGTGTTTGAAATATTGAACTAGTCGAAAATATTAAACTAAGTTGAAAAACCCTTGCGTTATCCCAATTCATGTTGACTGTAGTAAAAAACGATGCGTAACTACTTTACTTCACATTGATAAATATTATTCATGAATGACATGATCGTCCGAGAGTCTATCTTGTTCTTTTTCTATTCTCTTCTAAATAATCACAATTAAATTACTACGACCAAAAACCGCCATATTCTAAACTGCTTGGATACACTTACACAGAAAAACATTTTTCGAACACGCCAGAGACCATTTCATTACCTTTCTTAACGTAAGGGCCTGTGCTGCGTCAAGCGGGAGCATAGAGCGGACGTCGGCTCCGCGTGCAGTGCGTGAGGCGTCGTGACGTTCGCTCCGTATTCACGCTTAACGCAGCGCACGCCCTTATGCTACTACTTATACCCTTACCTTAAAACAAAAAGGGAAGATACGGCACTCGCGGCTCAAAAGTGATCCGCTTAAATTGTGGTGCATGACCACAATTCGCTTTACACAATTGGACATCCAAACGCGATACAAAACTATAATAACATTTTTTTTCTCAAAAATCACGGTTTGCCATGAATGATAGTTACTGATTCGCTATTATTTATCAAGAAAAGGACAACAATACAGCTCAGCCGTCTGTAGACAGAGAGAAAAGAAAACGTAATCGGCTGCTAAGCATACAATTCTGTCTCGCTCGCTCGATTGAATGTTTATTTACAGAAGTGTGCGTGTGTGAGAGTTGCTTATGTAGTTGAGTCGGATAATATTTTATTTGATGCTAGTATGAGCGTACCGTATCTTTCCTCTTTGTTTTAATCTAAGCTTGTACCGCATCACATTGTCAATCGTAAAATTTTTTGGGCGCAGGTCAACGGACGAAGACGGTCTGCAGAAGAACACTTCGGAAGTAGCGGCGATTACGTGACCAGCGTTCCAAGCCCAATGGAGCCGAGTACCTCGACCCAATATTGAATTTAGGCTGTGATCTGTCTTTAGAACTATTGTATTGTAGAGTTAATATATTGTGCTTTTGTATGACTTATGCGGGACCAAAGCGTCAGCTGGCGCGAGCCGCGGCCGCCGCAATCAATTAACACCGACAGTGCTTTACCTAACAGTTCTTCCTCTTAGTGAGATTTTTAAGTCTTTGACAATCTGTAAATAGTTTCGATGCGGACGTACTTACTTACTCCGGGCACTGACGGTCTTATGATGGAAGTTGTCGCGCCCGCGATAAACTTTCGATTCCTTCGTAATACTGTTTGTAAATTAATTAGATTCTAGTCTTTCTTTTTTCGAGAATAAAAGCTGACGGTGACGCTGATTATAACTTGAAAGTTCTCATAATTTTACCAATATCATTATTAACATGAACAGTATTGTTCGTAGATTACTAAAGATATTTATATTATACTAAATTTCTTGTAGAATCAATCATATATTTTATTAAGGTAAAATTTTGCCACTAGCTTCAAAGAAGCATTTAAAAATATTTTTGTTTGTTCGAATAATCGTTATATAATATAATGACGAAGATTAAGTTTAATATTAGTATTACTTTTGTTGACTGCTTCATTCATATGAAACCCTTTGCACTAGTATGTACTACAATACAACGCCATCTAGTGTGATCCATACTAACTAAATTAACTTAAAACAACTTATTGTGTCTAATGTAGTTACACACTGACCCTGATCTGCGCTTATTAATAATACAAAATTATAGAATCGGCATTTCTATTATTGTAAGTGTAGTCTGAACATTTCTAGTTTGCCTAATATTTATTCATACCGCTCCCAACCCAATCCGACTTATTCTAAAACGCGGATTAAATTTAGTTTTGGTTTAAACCTTATGTTGTCCCTGTCTTATATTTAGCAAACAAAAGTATAAGACCTACAGGGCTTAACTTTAGTCAACGTTCTGTAATAAGGCGAATCAAGTACTAAATTTTAAAATAGTAAGTATAATATCTTTATCATACTGTATAGAGAATAAAAAGGATAGACTGCTATCTAGTATTTAGTTTAGAGAGCAATCATGGCGAATTGTTCCCAGTATTTCACTGCAGGTATGTGGCTAGCTTGTTGTAGATGTAAGATCACTTACTATCTCAAAGTTCGAATTTTTGACAATTAATTTGATAATGGTTCGTGCTAGGGGTACAGTACCCTTAGCACGAACCATTATCGAATTCTAATAGTTTGCGAGTCCGAAATGTCATTGGCAAATGTGTACAGAATTTAAGTTCTCGTTACGTCCGTTGCGGCGCTGCTGTTCAAGTTTTCATACAAAATTTGACAATGACATTTCGGAGTCGCAAACTATTTGAATTCGATAATGACTCATGCTAAGGGTACTGTTCTCATGGGGATCCACTACCACACCGCACTCTCGGAACGCATTCGAGGGACCTCAGTCCTCAGAGTACGTGGAAGAGTATTGTCTATGATTTTAGTGGGAAGGAGTCTCGTCAGCGTTGCCAGATTTTTTTTTTGCCAAGTCGGGATTAAGGAACTTTTTGTGTGAGAAAAGCGGGATTCTTTCGTCGAAAGCGGGACATAGTAAAAAAAACGTATATAATCAAAAAGTTTTTTAAATATTTATCTTTTTATTTGAGTTCAAATTACGTTTACCGTGACAATAGATAGGTACCTAGTAAAAATATCCAAAGAAAATGTATTGTAATAAAAATGTGATATTTTAAATCAGATTTAGCCTATCGTTTAATAGTTGAGTCTTTGTTTGAGAGTTCTTCATTACGCGTTGGGCAGGCGGCCAGTCCTCACTTGTCTGTGCCATCCGCCCGAGCTTTCTCAGTACGCTGCACGCACGGTCGAGTTATTCCTGTAAAGCGGGATTGAGCCTGTCCCGCGCGGGACATTTAATTTTCATTTAAAAATCGGGACGTCCCGCCAAAATCGGATCGTATGGCAACGCCGAGTCTCACATATCTTGTTGCAACTCCCGGTGGTGGGGAAAGCGTCACGCCTTTCTCTGGCATAAAAAGAATTAGTATTTCAGAAATAAAACGTCACTGACATAACTGCCTGTATTATTGTTCGCTCAATAATGTAGAGCCCGCGTGTTTCACAAATTTTGTATTATTAATCAAGAGCATCGTGTCCCGTAGATAGACAATCGTATATCATTCATAAAATTAGACTAAAATGTTTCAATTAAGTTATTATCTCGAATCTTCTAAAGTATACTCTGACCGCGTTTCTGAAAACTCGCGGTCACGTTCTCATACGAATTGTTGATATACTTAGATTTATTATTTAGTATACATACATATATTATATTTCGATGATGGTGTGATGAATCGTGTATTTTTGTAGAAGTTTGTGTGACGTCGAATGTTTTATGGATGTGACGTAGTATCTTATAGCGATGTCGCTGCCTTGCCCGGGACTGCAGTGGCTGTGTCTGCCGTTTGCGGGTAGCAAACCATTTTTCATTGATATCAATTGATATTATTATAAAATAAATATACAAAAAATCCAATCTTATTGCGTCAATCAAAAATTCGTACTGTCGGAGCCTATTCAATACAAACAAACAATCAAATCTGTCCTCTTTATAATGTTAGTATACGTAGATAGAGTGCTTCTAACTGGACAAGTATTAATTATAACGGGCCTCTAATACTCCGTGAAATGTAAAAAAATATCGGAACCTCAGATAATCATTATTATAATCAGTTATAAACCTCAAGAATTTACTGACTTCTGATAAAGTGTTGCCATCCCGATAAAAATAAATATTATTATGTACTGATGATAAAAGAAGCAAAACCGTAAAAAATCCCATTACTTAATTATACTGATTGTGAAATTAACTAATACTTGAGCATTTATTTCCTATCTTCATGCAGTAATTATCTTGCTCTAAGTACGTAACCTGGGGTTTAGATAGCAACTATTTTATGAAGCATTTAAAATTTGTGTTATTCATGATTTCTTTAATTTGAAAATTTAAGACTCCCTTCACTTACATTCACTTATGATTATACATTCCACTCAATATATTTGTTTTTGTTAAAGTTTTCCTGGAATAAGGAGGAATGAAAGCTTCGCGAGTATTTAAGCATTAGAGAATGAATTATTTCATTCATAGTAAACATAATAAGTGCTTTATTTGTAGTTTTTTAGAAATTTCAATGATTGATTTTATTGAACTAGTGAAAATGTATGTGATGCTAGTGTCTTGTTCGCAATACTTGTTGCGGCAGGCCGGCCCTGCAGTCCTTCTTGTCCTTTACTACGATTCCTAAAGATTTGAATATTTTACTATATATTTGTAACCGTTGTATACATACAAATATATATTTCTATACGAATGAGGTTTGTTATTATGATATGTACAGTAGGATATTTTTTATAAAAAAAATCTTTGTGTAAATAACCTGTATGTTCTAAGACTGTTGTTGATTTAGAGCTTTTAATTGTTTAGTTAACCTTAAACTACTAGGTTACTATGTTGAAACATGTATTTTCCAGTCATTTTATAGTTGATAACCATCTAACAGGATTTGATTTGAAATGACTATCTTGCCATATCCTAAAATCGGACCTTAGTGATTTAATAAATTTTAGTACAATTTTGATTAAGCTTAATAATTATGTGTTTTGGCTCACTCCTATTGTTAGTTATGCACATATATATATATTACTTGTTATCTTATGTTGTGCTTCTATTTCTGGAGGGTGCATTAACTACTTAATGATTTTTGGGTACTGCACAGTGTCAATATCGTTAAGTATGTATGCATTGCTAGTCTTATCAACGAATGTTCGTAAATAATGAAACGAGTTAGTTATATTTTAATCTTATGGATCTTCCGTAGTTATAAAGGTTTGTTGTGTTAAGTTTGTTACAATGTCTACTGTCATGTTGTTTGTAGTGCTTCTCACCATTTGTTGCTTCCAATGTTGTCTTATTCTTACAATATTGCATTTATGTTGTGATAAAAAAACTTTTTCAACTTTTCCAACTTATCAAAAACAAACAATGACTTGAAAATACATTTATACATGATTATGTGTTGTTTTATAATAATAACAAAATATTTAATTTCATTATATATTTTTTTGTTTTATTTCTACCCTAGCATATTATGTAGTACTCTTGTTATCAAACCTGACCTGTCGTCCCACAAGGTTGCGGTCATAGAGAAAGTAAGAGTTCACTGACCCCGTTAGTTAAATTGATAGTCAGGCTAGTCCAACGAGCTGGATTCTCATTGGTAGATTTGTTTAACGACTGGTTAAAAATAGGTTAATTTTCCAACAATTTGGACTGTTAATGGTGTAGAGTTATGCATCTATCGTAATAAAAATAAGGATGCAACGATACCGATACGATAATCGTCGAGAAGTTTTTACGATCATTCGTTATCGTAAAAATTACGATACAATTTTTTTAACAGTTTCAAGTGAAACGCACGCTTCCCTTTTGTTTGACATTGATAGATTTGACCCAGAAAATTAAACAAAATAAAACAATTTTATAACTTAAAGACAAAATTAATAAGAAAATAAATTTTAAAATATACATCTTATTTTTGTTTTACTGTCTTAATATTGATATAATAACAGACAAAGTAATACAAACAAAGTTTCAAATAAATTCAATAAAATATGATTTTAAACAAAAATCTATATGTATCTGTATCGTAATTCGTTATCGTATTGGACCGTTACGATGTAGTCATCAGGGAGCGTCCATCAATTACGTAAGGTGTTTTTTTTTTATTTTCTGTCCCTCCCTCCGCCCCTGGCGAGATGTCATGAGATTTCATACAACCCTCTCCCCCATCCCCCAATCTCACGTGGGATTTTTCAAAATGTGGATTTCTTACGTAAACGCTGGATGGTTGGATTGTTATTGTAAAAAGATAGAATAATTGCTTCGTGCTTTTGTTTAAGACTAGTAATATTGCTGAGAGTTTAAATCTTAAGCATGTACAATCTAGCTTAAATGGATCAAAATAGTATATTTTTTTTGTTATAATCAGAAAAAAAATTGCGTGATATTTGCCGAGACCCCCCCTCTCTCCAACGTAAGATTAGATGAGATTTGACTCGAGCTCCTCCCCCCCTTCAACATCTCACGTAATTTATGGACGCCCACTCACTCGTTTTGCTATCGTAATGTAATAGTCGTATCGTTGCGTCGCTAAATAAATCTGGTAGCGATGGTCAATTAGTGATGGGTGGTTGATCAATAACAACCTCTTTTGTGCAGTTAGTCAAGAGATATTACATAAGAGATAATGATGACTGGCAGTTCCGCCTTTCATGATCGGGCACGTATCGATTTTATATGAATAAATATAGGTAGGTATACCAACATATACATACAATACTACAATCAGGAAGCTGCTGGGTACCACTTTACGTATTAGATTAATTACTCGCAAGTTCAATAATATGGGACACCATTTGGGCAAGAATGAAAATAAAATACTGGGTACATTCAAAATTATAAATATATTTATTTAAATTAACACATTGATAATTTGAAAATAACTATAACAGCACATAAATTTAACCCGGTATGTATATAACAAATTTGACTTGCAATTAAAAAAAACCGGCCAATTGCGTACATACAAGCGATCGGCCGTTGGTCCGATGACCAAGCAAGCGCAATACCTATACGGTAGGGCTGAATTTGCCCATTACAAGCACAAATCGCAAACTCTCATGGTCAATTCGCGGCAAGAACTTTCAGAAACGAATTTAAAACTTTTTTACATACATACAAGGACGTATAAAAATACGTCCATGCATACATAATAGACCAGTATCGCTTGAAAAGGTTCCACGGTGTAGCGAACGGGCGGCACTTTGAGCTTTTCAAGCGATACTGCTCCCTAGCATGAGCACCGCGTATCGCTCGTTTTGTCAAGTACTATTGTCAAATTTATATGAAGTTTTATAGCTAGACACGATAAATCGTGATATAATGTACAATTGTGGTGGTCATGCTACGGGGACTGGTCTTTTAAATAGCTCAGAACAGAATCTCTTGTAAGCACAGGTCCCGTGTGACCCGGTGCTGTCTAGATCCGCTCACTCCAATGCGTTAGAGTAAACATTTACGGCCAAATTCATTAATCAACCTCCAGTAAAAAAAAAATATGACCAACACACACCAATCAGCCTAGCTTCAAAATAAGCACTGTAATACTTGTGCGCTAATTCTTGTATTAATTGTACTAACATTTTCCCTCACCGGGATTCCAACCCGGGACCTCTAGAGTAGGCGACACCTCGAAACCCGGCGTACATACCACTCTACCAAGGCGATAGTCCAGGTCAATGGTAAGGTTAATGCAGTTCCGTTTCTTAGCAACAGTTGTTTTTTTTTTGTAAAAATCTAAAATAAAAATATCTATGCAACCGGCTCTAATAGGACTTTCTCTCACTGGAGCTTGATTATTGAACCTGGCCATTAATTAGGCTGTTATGATTTTATTTTATTTTACAGTTCATAACATGCCTGTTTTACAAAACTAACAACGTTATTACACAAAATTGTTACAACTCATGAAATTGTAAAGTTTACTTAGCTGTAATTGTTATCATTTTAAATTTATTATATAAACTACCACCGTGAGTTTTTTTGGCTGCAACGAACAATTTTGCTAGCTGGGTGAGGGGAGGGAATGCTAGACTTAAACAGAAAATTGCACTTTAAATATTAATAGGTAGGTTCCCATTTCACAAACGGTTGCCTAAATCGAAAAAATGTCTTCACCAAAACACAGGATCAGCAAATGACACCCCACGCCATGGGGTAAATCATATCCTCCACATGCATGTGTAGGGCAGGAACAAAAAATATGTTTAATTTTTTTAACTTGGAATTTCATCAACTTTGGATAAGTAAAAGAAAAAGAAAGCAAAAACAGACATAAAAGAAAATAGAAGATTTATATTACATGATAATAAATATTATTTGTAGGATAAACATATTTAGCTTAGCATGAGGTGTTAACTAAACGCAAACAAACAAACTTAACAAACTATAAATTTTTAGGCCAATTTCTACACACAAAATAATGTCAATTTTCAAATTAAACTAGCGACCAGCTCAAGCTTTGCACAGGTAATGAAGCTTTCTACTTGTAAAATATTAGTTCAGTAGATCAGTACTTGAACCCAAAAGCTAGACCATTTTTTTATTATTCTAAATGCTCGTATAAATTAGGTTTTCAAATTGTATGTCAAAATAACTTATTATCAAAAGAAAATATATATTTTATTCAAATTATGAGCATTTTTAACTCATACATTTTTTATAATTAATTTATTTGTCAGCTAGTGACATTTTCTAATACTCAAAAATCTACTGGCAATATAGTTGAAAGCTGTTACTGTAATATTTACAGCACATGTGACAAACATACCTAAGTATCACTTTCAAAACAGATCATTACTATTTAATGAAAATAATAAAATTGTACTACAAAAGCGAACATAACATTAGAAAAAATCATTGTAGTAATGCCAATATGGCATTGACTGTGTCCACTGTGGGCTCATTGACTAGAACTATGTCAAATTTGTTGAGGTAGTTTGGAAGGTTTCCTTCCACATTATGTCCGAGGAAACCAATCTTGATGACCTCAGCACAGTGATCCATTCCCTCCGCCATGCTCGCGTCACCGATGTTATCGCCCATTAATATAACATTGTCTCGATCCTTCACCATTTCATAATACTCTGTATTTTTTATTGCTGTTTCATTCTTATTCAAAGTGTGGATAACGTCGCCTTTTATACCCACTATTTTCTCATCTTCTTCCAATGCCAAAAAATTTGATATAACCTTAAAAAAAATAACAAAATAACAATTTGACTTTCCAAGCATTTTGTACAAGTATGACAAATAGGGAAGAAATTATTAAATATGGCAACAAATGACTTCAGTAGAAAAAAAAACCTTCAAGGACTTCACTAGAAAAAAAAACAGTCCAGGTTTCAGAAGGGATTTGAACCCGCTTCTTCTGTAATACGGGCACTAGCTGAAGATGCGATCTAGACCTAGTTGAACATATTTTCTAGAAAAAAATTCTTTAGTTTTAAATATGCAGCAGTTAAATGCTTAATAAATAAAACTATAACTTATATCACCTTAACATGAGGAAGTAATAAGTCAGCAGCTTTCAATGCTGCCACCACACAGTCTCCCAATCCAGCAGAGAATACAAGAACTGGTACATGCTGCTCCTGACTCCAGCTTATTAAATCCTTGACACCCTTTCTGTAAGAAAATACAAGTTATTAAAAAACAATCAATTAAACAATCTTTAAGCACCTTGACCTTATTGTCTAGCTACTAACACTCTGCACCTCTTCTAACCCATCAAGAGTTGAAATTGTAATTTAAGTTTTAATTCTGCATTTTGTTGTATAGTTTTACTATACGGCCATTCATAAATTGTCCTACACTCCTACTGTCTTTATACTATTTTATTTACTTTATTTTTATTGCCTTAGAGTGCTAACTTTGGGGCTAGGGGAAATGGTGTGTGTTCATTTTTATTATTTATTTATAGAGAAGAGTTGTTGGATAAGTATTTTTCTTTTTTACAACTGCTACCATATCACCAACACATAATGTATATATTAAGCAAATATTATAAATGGTATTTTAAATCTCAACAATCTTTTACTTTATTAATATATACATAAATATATATTTTACTAAAGTTAAAGTTATCACTAAAACTTTACCTGAAGCATTCAATCATTTTGCTTCCAATATCAGTGAGTTCTTGCCTGGGGAATGTTACACCTCTGCAACATTAAAATAAGTAGATAATAAGGCCAACATTGTGTAACACCGTGGCCTGCAAAATATTGTGAAAACTATTTCAGTTCATTGAACTTTTTTAACTCTCTCAATTCTATGACCTCCAAAGCCCAGATCATTAAACTTCACTATACATATCCGATCCTCATCCGAGATCTCAAAATGAATGGAACATTTGAGTGATGTTTAGCTTCTTTAAATAGGTACTCATTATTTCGATTATATTTTTACTAAAGCTTATAACTGCTTGACATTAATATTAAATTTATATATCTTTTTTATAATTAAAAAAGAAT